ACTTAAATGAGATACAAAAAATAATATAGCAAGCTTAGTAGCTGTGCAATGGTGCAAACGGAGGTGACTGGAAACAGTAGATTGCACCAAAACTGACTGCAACTCTACTTGTAGATTCTCTTTCTAGTCCTACAATAAGACAACCCAAGAAATAAGAAATCTGTTATCTACCACTGCTTCCAAAGTGCCTTGAGGATGCATTTCTTGTGAGCACATCAAAACACTCTTTGAAAAGAGCAAAAGAGCCTCAGAAGGAGAAAAGGGAGGCAAAGGCATAACTAATCCTTTAGAGTGCTGTAGCTGTTGGGAGTTGGTCAGATCTGCCGTTCCCTTTGCATTAATATATTTTCCTGAAGATTAGGATGGTAGAATTGGACTTTGCAAAGGAGAAACAAAAGTCAGAACGGCCACTTCTAGCAGGGAAGGTGGCTGGAGTGAGAACTGTATATAAATTCCGAAATAATTATCAATATAGAAAATACAAGAAGGAGCTTTACACATGGCTTGTGGAGTATGCCAGGATTTCCTCTTCCTGAGCTGCAAAAGGGGTTCTGCCGTTCATGTGCAAGGACTGTTCCTTCTTGATTGTGAGCCAAGGATGGGAGAAGTAGGTGAAGGGAGGGGTGGGAAGGAGTGTCAGCAGGGTTAGTGTCAGCGAGAGGTTCAGCTATACATACCACCCAGATGCAAGTCGATGAGGTCACTGTAATAAGACTCTCCCCAATAGTCTATAACAAGGAATCGGTGAAGACAGAGTTATTGAGTCAGATACCCACCCTAGCCCCACACAATCAAAGCAATCTATGAGAAAAAAAGACATACAGGCAGACAGAAACAAAAAAGACAGAACAACAAGAAACATGCATCTATGTACGTTTGCACATATATATAATACATATAAAATTATGTCTTTGTTTATATACATATATGTACACACGCACATATATGTATCACAAAAATATATTGGGAAGATGAGGAGAAAATTCCCAGCAGGCAGGCATGGATATCCATGGAGAAAAATCAAGAAGTTTACACAGACACTTCACTCTCTCAGTCTGCACCAGCACTTGATGCTGATGTCTTCCCAGTTCCTGCTGGGAAAAGCAGAGCTATTCTTGTTGTTTTCCTAACTGTTTAGGTCAGCTGCAAGAAAGGTACAAGGATTGACTTCTTGGAGGTGAGTGTGTGGAGGATGTGTAGAGAACACGAGTGAAAGGCACTGACTGAGTGCTGACACAAATGGCAAACGCAGAAGTGTGGCAAAAAGGGTTTCTGCTAATGCAGTACCTATGTGAGAGAAGAACATAAGAGGGTGTGAAACACAGACAAGCCTGTGCACAGCTGCTAGAGTCAGGTACACCATGAGTCTAGCACTGTATAATTATTCTTTGGGGAAGAGACATGGGAGAACTGAGAGCACTGTTTCTCACTGCATATGATTCACTTGATGTCAAGAGGTTGCTCTTAAATTTTTCAATATCAAACTGTCAGTACAAGACATCTTAAAAATGACTATCAAAGTTTGTGCTAAAGGAGAACAAGGGAGAAGAAGAAAAAGGTTCAAGAAATTTTCACGTTTACGTATTTTTCAAGGTAATAATTGAAAAGTCGTAATAATGTCCAGACAGGCGAATGCACTATAACACAAAGCAGTGTTACTTTGATAGTGAGCCCATCCCAGCTGTCTCCTGGGATGCTGAAGAAAAATGGGGTAATTTTTTCCTGACATTATCATACTTTACCTTGGAAGTGAAATGCCATGATTCAAAAGAAAATTAAAAACAAAAAGGGAAGAAAAAAATACAAATGACAAAAGCGTGGCCCATCCTGTATAGGACAAACTTGCCACCTTAAATAAAGCTTCCATTTCAGATCATTCATTCTTGCTGCAAAAGCCACTGGCAAAGGGTGAGATCTTCAAAGACATTAGGAGAGAACAATTAAGGCAATTGAGTAATCATATGTGTGAGACTATTTTCTGAATCAGAAACGAAATGTTAGGCTGAGCATTCACAGCTTTTCAAAGAAAGGAGGCCAGCTGCACATTCCCTGAGGCTGAGCCAAATTAAAAAAGAAGAAAAGAACTTATAGAGAAAGGTGCAATTACTTTGTCAAAATTAAAGTTGACAGTGACCTGCTAGCATTATCATACAGAATATTTCAGCCTGGCAACAATCAGATAAGGACTGTCACTTCTGGAAATAGTACTGAACTGTTTGCTCTATTGCTAGGATCTAAACTGTAAACACACAGGACACTGCTGTGACTATTCTGCTTGCTATAAACCACCTACTAAGGCCAAAACAAAATGGATGGAAAATAAAAGCAAAATTATTCTAAGCAAACAAATCCTTACCCAGACTATCTTTTTTTGTTCTCACCAGTCTAATGAAAGAAACACTCCTATAAAGGTGGGAAAAGGTCAAGAGGTCAGAGACACGAACAATTAAGTTTATGAAAGACCTCTACACAAAGAAAAATTGAAAGATGACTAACAGAGAACATGCTGAAAGATGATAAGAGACTTGGAAAGTAACTCAGATGGTCTTGTCTGTCTCTTTCTACAAAAGAAAAAGAATCACTACGAAATACAAAACTGTTTATTCAATCAGGATTTTCAAATATCTAGGACTAGGAAACTACTACTAACACTTCCAAAACTTCCTGTTTAAATGTTTAGTCAGTGAGTGATTTGCTCTCTCTCTACAGGGAAGGAAGCTGAATAACCGACTCATTACAGAGCCCTTATCATCTCCAAGTTAACACTGGTGGCCCTCTAGAGGACAGCAATTACTTCAGCCCCATCTTGCAATCCTTCTCCTTTTATGAGGATGGAGTATGTGCATAGGGGGCAATCTTCCCACCCTCCCCTTTCTCCCACTTGTACAAGTGTATTAAAAGGATTATTTTTTCCCAGATGTTGACAACATTGACCTTCCTCTTTTGTTTAGCTTCTGTTTACACAATTTCATTATGAAAAACTTATCAGAAATAGGAGTATGGCACCACATCTTCACACGTCAGCACTGCTCAATGCAGTGGTCACAGTTAGGTCAATACCCACGCAATGCAGTTGAGAAGTAAATTATTCTGCCCTCTTGAATAATTAATGGTATTGGAGGCAGAAATTAAATGCACTCACAGGATGTGATGTCACATACTTTAAACAATGCAAATAATTTCTGCTATTTTATTGCAAATTTATGTAAATATTGAAATATGTAAGCAAAAGTGGTAAAGGATGGAGTTTATTTCTAATTTTCAGTTAAAAAAGGCTATGCTTTATACATACATACATATATATATATATATATATATATATAAAATTACTTTTTTCCCCATCAAAATGTGTTTCTTGTTAATCCCTGGATGTAACTGGAGAATTGGAGCTTGTGAATTCTTTAAGGTGGAGTTAAGCCTCCGTAGTCAAGAGTAAAGCACACCTTACAGGCTTCAAGAAGAAAAGAGGTTCATTTCACAAAGAATGACCTACAATTTCATAATTTCGCTAGGAAATCCACAAATACAGAAGCTCATCTAAGACTGCTTCCATTTTGGGAGAGCTGAGAGTAAGGTATTATGCAAAGGTTTAAGTCTGCAGCCTTCCATACAAAATACCAACTCTTATTCTTGCTCTGAACATTTTTTTGCTTTGGCATTTTGAAGGATGTTCTCTCAGCTGCTAAGATTTCCAGCTTGTGCTGATATATCTCACATGAATGCCATTTAGCAGCTGACTATTCAAGACAGACTTCCAGACGTAGAAGAAAAAGAGGAATTAGAAATAAGAAGAGGTGTTAGTAAGCACAGTAACTGGCAAGCCAGCAAATAGAGTGGGACTACAGGGAAATACACTGCATAAGGAAGGTGGCACTACCACAGAGAAAGAGTTTATACACAGGGTACTTCTTGAACCCACGTTAAAAACCCAGTCGGATCACAATACCACTCCAGTCATCAAGACTATTTTCCACACTTGTAGAACTTACTTGCTTTGGTAACTATTCAGACCTGCTGCTTTAGCATGCCTTCATGGAGCAGCAAACACAACTAAACTTGGTGAAGTAATTGGAAAGGAATCTCAACAAACTTTTCTTCCGGTGAACCTTCACTGCGTAATCTTATACCATCTTCATAGGCATAGTGGTCACTCTTAAGTCCAAGCAACAAGCCAAATCATTCTTCCAATCTGTTGCACTGTTACCATAACTGATTTCTGGTCTTTGTAATCAGGTACATAATCCTGGGCATAATCCTATCAGATACAGTCACACTGCATTTGCCTGCTGGATATTTGACTCCATGCAATTAAAGGACTCTTTTTTTCTTCCAGATCATTACACTACTATTAGCATTACCTCAACCAAGTACTCCTCCACTCATGTTTTGCCAGATCAGGTGAAACTCATTTAGTTTAATTATAAACACAGATCACATTCATTTAACAGCTTGACATGGATACCTTTCATGTTTGCATTTCTGCTCTGCACAGCTTTGTCTGAAGCAACCAGTGTGCTGGGCTGTGCAGTGAGGAAGATGTTCTGTGATGGTCCCTTGTAAGGACACTACCGTAATAATCCAACACAATAGAGAAAGCACACACAAATTCACAGTTATTTTCTTCATGTACAAAAGGGGTTCTTTTTCTGTGAAAGCTGTGAATTGCAGCTGGGAACCCCCCAAAATTTTCTAGTTGTAAAATCCAATAATATGTAGAAAACAGTCAGACATCCATTATTAATAATTGGAGGATTACTTCCTGAGTTTCTGGCAAAGACAAGCAAACTAAGTCTCTGCCATTAGAAAGATCCAAGGATTAGAGGAAATACAAGAACAAGGCCTCAGAAAGAGAAGAAAAGGGGGAATGGATTCATATTGGACTCTAGTTCTAGGCTACAAAGGTCCAAACGCCTCTAAAATCCAAGCACCAATGGACTACTGTACAAGCATTTGATAAAAAAAAAAAAACATTAAAAAGCAAACCAAGCTCTGCTGGATACCTGCTTCTCCTCGAAGGGCCTTCTCCACAGCAACCCCTCTCTCCTCTAGCTGTCTCTGCTTCTCTTCCACTTGTTCAAGCTGCCGCTGGATGATCTGTTGAGAAAAGAAATGAGCTTATCAATAGCAATTCTCCTGTTCTGTATGTAGCACATATCCAGCACCAATTCGACTTCAGTCAAATTAGCTGTTTGAAAACTATAAGTATTTGCATCCAACAACACAATGGCTTGAAAGCTAGCATCACAGTCCCCTCCAGTGAGGACACCCCCATCTCTGCATCCTAGCATCTCGTTTTACAGACACCTGGATATTCACTTATTTGTTACAACTGAAATCCCCCTCCTAAATGCTAAGTGAAAGGTGTTGCCATTCAGTCAGCTGATCCCCTTCCTCGACAAAACCCATGTAATTTCCTTTAAACAAAACCCATCTCCTATAAACAGTGCCAGCAGATTCTCCTGTAGTTAAAGTTTAGTTGTTAACACTTCACCTACCAGCATAATCTAGGAAAGCAGTCACTGACTACAGCTCTTTCATTCAGTGAATGGTACTATATTCATCTCCAGGTAGGAAGGTGTCACGCTCTCATGCTCTTGTCATTTTTCTTGCTGTTAAACTACCTTGACAGGTTACAACAATTTCTTCCCATGTCTGAAAGATTGCACCAAATTTGACGGACAAAGTAGGAGCAGAGGCAACCATGTAGAACTAGAGGGAATTCTGGCTCTGGAGCTTCTTCTGACACACCCAGTGGAATATCAGGATCATGGTGCCTTCGGATAGGGTTTCCTGCCATAACAAGAAGACTGTGAGACACTACCTGAGCTCTATGTAACCTCTTGAGCTCTTCTTGCTTGGCTTGTCTGCGGGCAGCCTTCTGTACTCGTCGGGTCAGCTTAGCATTCAGTTCCTCTTCTGTGTAGGCTCTCTGGAGGAGAGGAAGGAAAAACAGCAGACTTTATTTCCACGCCCGGAGCTAAAGGGGAGGGAAAATGATTTTCTTTTCCAAAACCGCAGAAGGGAGGTGTTCTGTCTTTCTCATAGCTGTGTCAAAAGTCAAGCTTCTGTAGGCAAAGGTGTTCACAGTGCAGTGAGCAACAATTTCAGGGTCAAATCAGGAGTGAAAAAGCACATAAGCCAATTGCAAAGCTGTGATTTTATATGATGTCCCATTTCAGTCTTCTGTTGCTATGTGGAACCTCTCCACAATGATCAAATCCATTTTTAACCTATTTCTCAACAGATTTAACCAAATGGACTTAATCAAGTCAATGAGTACCTTATAAGGGGGTCACCTTGAATTCATTTTAGAAGATAAAGACATGTCTACATGAACAGTTACAGCAGAATAAACTAAGAGGTTAATATAGACAGGTGTAGTTACATTGGTATTCTGCTCTCTTCGTAGAAACCGTTTTATTCTGGATATAAATTATCCGTATTTGGGAATTATACTGATATAACTGGTAATGATTACCTGTGTGAATTTGTGCAATTTTTCTCTAAATCAAGAAGGCAAAAAGATATTTGAAAGCAGAATGGTGTTCTGGTGTGAGAGGGTAAATCCCATCTCATGAACAATGCCACAAAACTGTCTGGTATAAAACAGAGCAACCAACACCTTAACTAAAACTAGAATATTATAGCACCAGAAGTAATTCAAAATGAGAAAGGCTACATTTATAGAAAGATACTCCTCCTTTTCTCCCAAGTGAACTGGTTTTAAAAATATCTAAATCTAAATTTTTGATTGCACTGAAATGAAGTTCAGTATCTTTTCAGGTATACTAGTTGGTTTGTTGTAATCTAGGTTTGTTTCCTCTCATCACCTTTAGAGTGTCAAAGGAACTTCACAATTGCATTAAATGAACTACAGGGAAGAAATGTCTTCCTACATACATGTATGTAGCCTTTATGAGATAGCTGCTCACAGATGTCTTACACTTCTGGAAATATCTTCCACATCGACAGTTCAGTTTAAGGACAAAACATTAATACAGGCATGAAATTTCCTTTATCTAGTTATTGTACTGCTGTGCTGATCACACTATCTGTGTTTCATTGTTCTCAGTGAGCAGAGGTTTATATGGCTGGACCATAGCTCTACTAAAAACTCCTCAGATTGGTGATCAGCAAGCACCATTATTAAAGCTCCAAGAAGTCAATACTTTGCTGGAAAGTTAGAGACAGCATGACTTTCCTATCCTACTTAATGCTGTTGTGACTGTCAATAAGGCCAATAATGACTTCAGAAAGCAGCAACATTTCTAAAACAGAAATGCAACTTCTATCTTGATTTTAGCTTGACAAAGAATTTCACTGAGATTTCAGTGAACCCAAAGATTTTGAACAATGATTTTGAAAGAAGGAGTGACAATCCATTTCTATGTTCTAAGTATGTAAGAAAATAATACACATATATATTTAACTCCCTACCAACCCCATTTGTTCTGAAGCTCAAAGATTATCCGCATTACTCTGTACCGTGGTGCACTGCTGGGCACTGATAGTTGCATGCATTCTAACACAGACAATTTGGATCTCAGTGCATTGTTGGTAGACAGCCTCTACACAGATTTTGCTGCCCATGTCTGCTAACATCTCACGCATGCACAATCAATGTTGTGATGTTAGTGTACATGTGATGGGTAGCTACATATTCAATGGGTTAATACAGGGATATACATGCAACAATGGCCAACTACTGGGAATGGAGACACTACCTTTGACGAATATGATCTCTTGAATGCCAAGGCGTGTGGTACATAAATCGACTTTAAAGGGGGAATGGTAAAGGAAAAAAATAAAAAACATACAAAATGAAGTAAAATCAGTTCAACATTGAAAACAGATGCATAGTAAAAAAATAAAGCTGTTTTTAAATGCAACACAGAATTGTGCAAATGCTGACCATGGCCCAGTCTGATTAAGCACAACGAAACCGTTGTGCACAAAATCAAGTTTCTATCAGTCTCCTGAAGACGATTAGCTTTGGCAGCCTCTTTCAAGATACAGTCAACCTGGAAATACTTTTTTTCTAGAGAATTCTTTGGCCTTTATCCACCTGTGGATTTAATATCCGCTTGAGCAGTAAGTATACATACACATACAAAATTTTGGCTTACAATATGGAATAATGTCTTGTTTGCTGGGGCATATTTGGTCTGAGCTTGCTAAGCCAATCACATATTACTGTGTCACACAACTCTCCATTTATACATTGTTTTATAACCTTTCATGGAGGCTGTGTCTATTTCATGGTTTAAAATAATTTCTACTCCATCAAAATAATCATTTGCATTTAAATAATGACATAATCTTCCTCGCTGCTTTGTGACTGGAGAAACACAAGAAAGGCTCAGAGTGAGTTACCTGTCATCTCCCTGTTTAAAAAGAGAACCTCCAGAGAACCTGAGGAGCTAAAATTAGGAGGAAAAAAAAAAAGATG